ATAATCTGTAAAACTCCCTGCATAATTATAATAAAGCAATTTATATTCATAAATCAAGCGGAACACTATGGACAATTATTAAGTCGATTATTGTTATTGCCACATCACCAGACAGGACGCTGTTCAAAAGAAAAGAGAAGAAAAGACAGAAAACTTTGAATCAATCTGACTGGATGATCTAGTGAACTATAGAGTGCCTTGAGATGACATGTGTTTATGAATTGGCGCTATAGAAATGAACTGAATTGAATTTTATTGCAGTAATGAGTAAGAATGTAAAGCTCCCTTTCCTCTTTTTTTTTCTCCTACAGTGAATGATGTGGAAGAAGCAGAGGGCCTTCCATCGCTGGACAAGCCGGGCTGGTACTCCCAGGGCAACTGGCCACACCTCCGTGAGCTGCTCAAGACCATGACAGGAAAACCAGAGCCCAAGGTAGGCCGGCCGCCTGCCAGGCATCTGGTTGAAGGGTATCCGTGACTCGCTTTGAGATTGACTCCCAACCGCAGTCCTTGGCAGAGAATGAGAGGGATGAAGCCTGGGTGATAAATGAGCTCAGAGAGATTCACATGGGGATGATGAGGTGGAGGAGCGTGGCTCTTGGCATGGATCTCCCTCAGCATCCTGGGAGTTTATTCCCTGAAGAAGCTGAACATTGGAACATAATTTTCAATACCAAACACAGGACAGCTACAGCTCACATGTGTTTCATGTTTGTTTTGGCATGTCAACAGTCTGAACAGTGTATCTGAATAGAGATGAGAGTTTCTCCAGTAAAATTATTCTGTTTTGCCTCTACAACAACTTATAGCTGACGTATTCAGAGGAATTATTGTTCCTGTTTATTGGCCTATAAGTAGGGAACATGTCAACCTTTTGAAGATGTTAACAACCTATTTTAATTAGAGTAAACACTTCTTAGCTGAAGCAGGAAGTATAATGAACAGCGCCCCCAAATCTAAACCTCTCGTTCTGGATGTTGAGGGTAAATGGAGGCCTGATCCTCAGATTCCAAGTCCTTCGTCAGCTCAGCGCTCCGCCCCGCCCCGCTCACGTAAATCATACGGAGTGTTTGTCATGTTAATCAATGTAAACTGTTCCACATCCACCGCTACGCTTCCGCATGTCACCCTCCACATACGTCTTCTCTGTCTGTCACCGTCAAAATACGGAGCTCAGCTATTTTTTGCTTTGCTCCGGTCCGGCCAGGTCAAGATCCACAACTGCAATCGCACCAAACAGGAAAAAGAACGTCGAGAAGATCCGGTTTGTCAAACCAAAATATAGTAATGATCGATCGATTGGCATAATTCTTATATATTCCCAAACACTAACACTGTTTAATGAAGTTATAGGATGCAGACTATCGGTACCGCAACATACCAGGAAGCAGATTTCTCATCTCCATCAAAATATAGATTTTATAACGAGAGGCTTAAAAGTTTAATCAAATCCGATAAAAACTTCCAAGAGAGCCTCTCACAACCTCAAAGAAACTTCTTAACGCAGGCGTGGATGAAGAGATGCTGAGTTTGGAAGTAGAGAACAAACATAGTTCATAAAAAATCTATTTACTTACTT